AGAAGGAAGGAAGGAAGGAAGGAAGGAAGGAAGGAAAAAAGAAAGAAGGAAGGAAAGAAGGAAGGAAAGAAGGAAAGAAGGAAGGAAGGAAGGAAGGAAAGAAGGAAAGAAGGAAGGAAGGAAGGAAGGAAGGAAGGAAGGAAGGAAGGAAAGAAGGAAGGAAGGAAGGAAAAGAAAGAGAAGGAAGGAAGGAAAGAAGGAAGGAAGGAAGGAAGGAAAGGAGGAAAGAAAGAAGGAAAGAAGGAAGGAAGGAAAGAAAGAAGGAAAGAAAGGAAGAAGGAAAGAAAGAAGGAAAGAAAGGAAGAAGGAAAGAAAGAAGGAAGGAAAGGAAGAAGGAAAGAAAGAAAGGTTACAAGTAGTAGATTTGTCCAACAGCTCATCATTCTCATGTTCCTCAGTGGTTAATTATTAACTCTTCTGCTGATTTATCTTTGCTTAAATTAATCAAAAACAAAGAAAACATCCTTCAGAAAAACTCTGGATAAACTTATTTTATTTACAGATGGATCTAAAGGTCCAGAAACTCTGAATATGTTACAACTCACACCAAACATTTTATTTATATAATGGTTTCCTTTGAATTTGATCTCATAAGAAAAAGACCACCAGGGGTCCTCTTTTATTGTGGAGGGGCCTGGTAAAATGTCCAATTTACCCTCTTCACTGTCCAGACTGAAAGACAGGAAGAAGACAGAAGAACTGACATTAAAGTCCTTCACACTGTCAGACGTAGGGAAAAAAACTGAGTTCAACAATGAACAAAAAACAAAAGGACAGAAATTAAAATGATATTTGATGCTTGTTGTATTTTCTGGATTACAGCAGGTGAGCAGATATAAACTGAAGGATATGCAGGACAATTTTTATGTGATTTAAAACTTATGATTGAGACAATTTGTTTATCTGGGAAATATAAAGGGATTAAAGGTAAAATAAAAATCCATCCGTATGAAGATTTTCAGAATTCCTAATATAAACCAGGTAAATATTTTAATAGCAAACAACATGTATCAGAAGTTCCTGAAGCCTGGAAGTTAGCTGGTATTTATCTCTAGTCAAATTCATGAGAGACACGACAAACAACAAAGGTTCCCACCTTTAGTACAGTTAATAATTTAAAGTTAAATTGTTATCATGTTGAACTGTCAAAGGAAACCAGAGGAAATTGACACGTGCACAGAAATAACAGCAATATTCTCTGAAATAAAGTGATGTAATGTTTGCTAAAGCTTTGATTTTACCTCTAAACCTAAACTAACAGAAGAAGTTATAAAAGATGTTTATTTAATTATTTATTTTGATACTGGTTGCTTTTAATAAAATAATTGTCTTAAATTAACACAGCACACACACCACTAACATGAATATAAGAAATATATCCAATCTGTTTATATAGGTAAAACTTTTTTAAATTTATTTATTTATTTGTTTGTTTGTTCTTAATGTTCTGCAGGTATTCGACCCTACAAATGTGAGCTGTGTGAGAAAGCTTTCACACAACGTTGCTCTCTGGAGTCCCACATGAGGAAGATCCACGGTGTTCACCAACAGTACGCCTATCGACAGAGACGATCTAAAATCTTTGTGTGTGAGGACTGCGGTTACACTTCGAGTCGTCCTGATGAGTACTTCCTTCATGTGAGACAGCATCACCCGAGCAGTCCTGCCCTTCGTAGATACTATCGACGYCAGGCGCACGAGAACAGCAGCTTTGCATCAGCAGATCCTAAACTTAACCCCTATCTGTTGTACTCTACCCCTGCATACTACATGTAGTACTCATTCCCATCACTTGCATCCATTCTTTATCAATTAATCAATGCCTGCTTTGATTTAATACTGTGTAATAATTAAAATATTTGTGCTTAGAAGTTGTATTTTATCTGTTTTAGTAATTAATTTGTGATTTCAGAGAATGTTTATAATCTTTTAAATAAAATCAAGTCCAAACACAGTCAAATAATTTGTTTTTGCATATTTTCATACTATTTATATATTTCTATCCCCATATTT